TGCAGTGGGCAAGGTCATTGTCAATGGTCACAATGCTCAATGGCATGTCCATGGATACAGTAATATCACATTAGTAATACAGTAATGAATGTATAAGGTTATATTGTCAAAATGTACAAGGTTATATGTCAAATAAAGAAAAACCTATTAAAATCCACAGAAAATGTCATTTATTCTACATTTACATCTACAAAGGAAGAGGAGGACTTCAGAGTACTGTTAGTAATGGATGAGTACACTCTGCAGCCTGCATGCTTCAAAAATTTTAGAATTGAGTTTTATTTCAAGTGTCCCTTATTACCTCGTTTCCAGATTAATTCAGGAGCTTTTTATATTGCCTCTAGCACCTTACAAATAGCACATGGAATTTTTTCAGAGCTGCCATATGATAGCCTTCACAATTTTTTGTCACAAAGACCTTTAAAATGGGCCCAAACTCATTTATGAAATGTTTCATGGTGAGAAGTTATTAACATGAAATGCTCAAAAACGTCCCTTATTACATACCCCATTTGACGGTAGTTTAGAAGGGGCAACTATTGCATTATATAAATCATCAAGCGCTTAGACCTGTACCACAAGGTTAATCCTGTTAAATAATTCAATTTAATAAAATTTCATTTTCAATTAAAATTTTTAAATAAAATTTTTAATTACACATTTTTTATATATGGTAAACGCACCATATTCCGACATCATGGGTAATTCTGATACTTCAACTTTTTCCTTTATATTAAGCTTTGTCTTAGTTCCACGCATGCGTAGATGGTTGAAATAGTGACATCATACTATTGCGCGCAAGATTTCTGCAAAACACTTGGTCTGGTGGGAAAATGTTAAGATCCTCAGCGCGAAGTCCACATCACCCAGTGAGAACATTGAAAAATGTGTCAAAGTTGATAGTTGACCTTGCTCTACCAAATAGTGATAAACTGTTTGTGTAGAAAGAATATTATGGTTTGAGACTTTTAAACAAGTCTGTGAATATATTAATAATCCTTTAAGTATACTTGTATTTGCTGATTTCAAGTGGTAAGTAAATAAATCAATATTTGATTGAGTTAAGAGAAGGTTTTAGGCGTTTAAAAACTAATTCCAATACAGCTTGGAATTAGACACACACAGCTCATTCCAAGCTGTATCGTATTCCGATACAGCTCACACATGGAGTTGAAATTACAAATTACGGTTTTGAAGCATTGTCAGAAATTGAAATTAGTCTCACAATATGCCTAATTTAGTCACACACAGCGTCGAAATTCAGCAATTTTGTAGATTTGAATTCTAAAGGTTTCTAAATAAATATGGCAACAGTTTGTAACATTTCATCGTTGCTGGCCCGTGGTACGTAGTTTGGTATTTTGAAAGTGACGTAAACCAATCAGAACTTGAGTTGCGCATATGGTGATCTCTTTATAGCCTTTCATTTCTTGCTATGTCCTTAACCCATTAATGCCGAGCGGTTCCATTTGGAACCAGCGGAAAAAAATGGATTCATAATAAAATTGTATGGTCAAATCAATATACTAGTGGATGCATAGGTTTGATACACATCTTGTCCATGTTCTGGCAATGTTTGGTTCTGCTGCTCCGACTACTACCTGCTCAGTTATCATTAAAAGATTGTAAGTAACGGGTGTCAGACAGGAGGGCTTGACATCATTGCAGAGAAAGGTAAGTAGTTCGTTCTAAGAATATATTACTTATAAGTTAGATGCAGAATTTTATTGATAAAGAGAGTACTTTTAATTCTGTATATGGTATTACGTGATATAATGTTTCTAAAGTCTTTTAGATCACAAAATATTTTGTCTTGTTCCAAATGGAACCGCTTGGCAGTAGTGTAAACATTCCGGTCATCTAGCTTTCCCAGTAATTTTTTTGTGATATAGTTACGCATTGTATTTCAAAAACTTGTTTGTACTTAGAAATTATTTATTTAGATCTTAGATCTAAGTTTTTCTGTTATTTATTAGTAAATCATTATCTTTAGAGCTGTTAGGAATATATATCCTGAAAGTTAAAATATTTGGAAGTAGGTACGTTGAACACTATACGATTGTTCATCCCGAGTCACTTTTTTTCTAATTGTATTTTGGCAAATCATCACATGAAATAATTGAGATTTCGAGAGAAGAATAACACGAAGATCAAATATTTGCTACTGAACCTTTCACAGAAGCAGCAACAAACAAAACCTACTGAGATTCAGATAACTCAGATGACGCAGCCACCAGCAATTCTGCTTGCCTATGGAGAATAGTCATTGCAGCAACAGTAATCACCAAATGTGAAAACAATGACTTTCGATAGGGAAGAAAGTCAACTGTGGTCATATACTACGACATATACGTGGCTAGCCCGTGAGATTTAGTTATAAACTTTGGGCAGCAGATAAATCAAATGATATATTTCTGCAATTGAAGCTAATCAGAGGATCTAATAGAAAAAGAAACTTATTCATGGGCTGGAACATGGATTGGTCTCATAAACATGATACAATTGGTCCCAAGCCAACATATTATATGTGATATCTATTCTGGTTTCATTTGGCTTCTCAAAAAACATTTGAAAAAAAGAATGGCTAGTGCAATAAATTTTCAAAAAGATCGGTTAGGAAATGCAATAATGCAGGAGACCCTAAATAAAACAATCAGGGTCTATAGTGCATCCTTCTACTTCGATCCTTGATGAAGTGCAATACAACAATCAACAACATTGGCCAGCAAAGAGACATCAGAAGCACTGCAAATGCAGTGCTTTGTAAACAATGTTAACAACGCACCCACAAACATTCGTAAAATGGGAAACCTTCCTATTCATTTTGAATGAATGGAAGCATTCTATGCTAAAAATTGAATTGTATCCTGCCATGATTGATTTATCATCAGTATTGTCCATTATGAATAAGTATTATCCATTATGAATAACCTTGCTTGATTTACTATCGGAAAAAGTGTTGTTTGAAGAAACGTTATGTTAATGCCGAGCGGTTCCATGTGGAACCAGGAATCAAGCTATAATTTTTCACATACAACGAAAAAAAAATATATGAACATATTTTTTGTTTATTACCATCACAAATGATATTCTCACAAGGAACCAAAAAAAAATTCAGTAAATAATTCTCGTCATTAATGGGTTAAAGTGTCACTGTGTCAGAATATGGTGTGTTTACCCTATACCTAATTTAATTCTACAGCATGTACCATGTTGTGTTTTAAATAGGGTAAACACGGTATATTCCGACATCGTGGGTAATTCCGTCACCTCTCTAGTTTTTTCTTTATATTAAGCTTTGTTTTAGTTCCATGCGTTCATTGATGGTTGAAATGGTGATGTCATACATTTGCGCATCAAACTACTGCCAAAACACTAGGTCTTGGCCATCTAGCGGGAAAATATTGAGATCCAAAGACAGACAATGCACACTACCCAGTGAGATCATCGAAAAATGTGTCAAATTTGACAGTTGACCTTGCTCTACCAAATAGTGAACAACTGTTTGTATTATTGTATAGGAAGAATATTATGGTTTGAGACTTTAAAATACGTCTGTGAATATATTAGGAATCCTTCAAGTATACTTGTATTCGCTGATTTCAAGTGGTAAATAAATTAATAGATGATTAAGTTGAGAAATGGATTTAGACACATGAAAACTAATTCCGTCACAACTTGAATTGGACACACACAGATCGTTTCAAGCTGTGTACAAAAATTAAAATTTGCTTAATTAAAAGCTTAATAGTTGTTAATTAAAAGCATAATTAAGTAGTGTTCAATATTCATTAGTGTTCTAATTCAAAGCCCTGTTGTATTCCAATACAGCTCACACAGCAAACGAAATTCAAACACGTGGATGACGGCATTACGTACCTAGTGACAAACCACAGATTTTTTAGAATCGGTTCATTTTTAATTTCCTCATTTACTCAAGAATTGAACCAATTTCTTATGTATGATAATGCTGGTATCTAGGATACTTTACTGGTCTACTTATAGGACTCAAAAATGAACTTGAGAAGTTGAGAGAGAGTCTAAAAAACTCTCTGCATTGCCACTATGATTATGTATCAGTAGAATTTGAAGTGCGGACGGAATACGCCTCACCACGTGCCAAATATAGCCACACACAGTGACGGAATATGGGGATTTGGTAGGTTTGCAGTCTAAAGGCTTTTGAATAAATATGGCAACATTTTGTGACGTTTTGTTGTTGCTGACTCGTAGTGCAGTGTTTTGAGAGTCACATAAAGCAAACGGAACTTGAGTAACGCATACGGTTATTTTTTTATAGTTTTTCATTTCTCGATGCATCCTTAATGTGAAGGAATATACCGCGTTTACCCTAATTAAATAAAATTTAGTAAAACTTAATTTAATTTATATATTCAAATTAGCCTAATTGAAATCTTCCACACAAAGTAGGTATTGCAACCTTCATTCTTGATTCATTCAAGTGTAACGTAACTTTAATCCACCTGCTTTTAGCTATTCTTTCTATCTTGACCAAAATTTTTGGAATGAAAGAATAGTGGAGGTGGACCAAAAATAAAACATGAACCCTAATTTTTAGAATTTCATCCTGCTTCCATTTCATTCAGAAATGGCATTTTCTCTAATTTTCCAGTTGGGCTCAGGATCAGATCATCAGAATGCAAGGCTCCAAAATTGACAATTTGACATACAGAAGAACAGAACAGAAAAAAGTTATTGTTCAGATATAAATGTTTGCTTCTGCAAAATAAATCAACTAGTAGCTTCTAAAATTCATATGCAGCTTTGAAAATTGAAATTTTCAACACCTAGATGGGGCTTGAAAGAATGTTTCAGCAGTTTGGATCAACTACCTATCTCAGTATCTGACATGTCTCTAAGCAAATTACAGTTCAGTTCTACTGAAGAGCAGCCAAGTCAAAAATTGCTAAATTTTGCAACTTATTCAGACTTGTTTCTCAACATCAAATCTAACGCATTAGTTACATAACAATTCTTACATTTTGTGAATGATCATCCTGCAGTAGGGCAGGATCAATGGCCAAATCTGCAGAGGTCACGGTCGAAACTAATTCTTCCAATTGCTTTATGCATGATCTTTTCATTTGAAGAGAAGTTGAAGAATCCCTATTGAAAGCTTGAACTGCCAAACGCCCAATTTTTTGAATCAGGGAAGCCATTATCTTCAAAATGAAAACTATTTCGTCCGTGAACTGCCAAATTTATTTATCATAGCCAGCAAACGTGACAAGGCTGGCTGGCTGATCACGTACGAGACTAAAAACCAATTCTAGCTCTGAGGAGGTAAGAAACTTCGGTGACCACACTCGGCCAATCTTTAATTAAATTGTTTGTCGTAGCTAAGTGAAAGTAGATTCCCATAGAGTGACATTTCCTCTGTGCACGTGTAGGTCAACCCTATACTAATATTATTCAACGATAAGCAAATTTATTGACTATATATATATATATGAATTACTTGAAGTCGAAGATTTACTTTTGAGGAAATGTGGACACATTTCTGTACGTTTACTATGAAAAGTGATACAAATATTTACTGTGGGTTGAAATGTACTTGACTTGCGTAACTTGAGATAGAAGTCCAAATTTATTACTTTCGAATTAAATAATGCGAATCGGAAATACAACTAGGACTTTAAAATCGACCACTGCAATTAGTGTTTATCACTTATCCTGCCGTTAAACTTGTAATTCACTCTAACAACGCACTATAGAATGAAATACAGCGCCTGATGAGTAGGTTCATTGCAGATTTGAAAAAGCGTTTACGTATTGACCGGCTAATGATTTTTAAAGCTATCTCACATAAGACGCAGGTGCAAGATGCACGAGAGGCCCAGTGTTTACAGTTCTAAAGCACCTGGAATGGAGCAACGAGTTTCGGTTTCGATCCCAGCTTCCTGCCAGTTTTGGTCAAAATCGGCGTGGTTGCCGTTCGCTTATACACTGTGGATACTGGAGCAGTGTGGTGAGAGTTCGAGACCCGTATCAAGCTGTGAAAAGTTTCGCGTTTAGACGCAATTATCGACGTTCACAATCGGCGATAGGCATAATTTATGGCCTAACCTTCTACGCTAACACCACTATTAGTATTATGCGTTTCCTTCTTGGTTCTAAATTCAACAACAATAATGGCTTGAATTTTCAACATTGGTAGAACAGCGTTGACAGGCAACTAACTGACTAAATTCCATTGATTACTAATCAATTCATCCGCGAGTTAACAAAGGATAAAAAAAAGATACATTGATGCAGAATTTATTGGCAGAAGTATCAAGTTCTGATAACGTTACGAACGTTTTTAAATGCCAGTGACTGTTTACGAACACTGTAAAGTCTTTAAACTATGGGATGCAGCTCTGTATTTAATTTCAGTTGAATCCCAATTACCTCCTAAAAAATTTAATTCAAGAAATGATCCATGACTAATTTGCCGACCTCTTCAGAACGTACCGCCAGTGTTTGACAAGACGCTGAAATGGAAGCGTGAAATAGGGACAACTCTATGTACACATATCAGCATAACAGTGAGGTGCCACTATTTTAAAATTTGTACTGGAACCTCAGGTGTTGCAGAGATTTGATTCAAGCTGATGAATTGATGAGTAGTTTATTCCATGCATTGCTCGAATTAAGACGGCGATGCAGAAGAGGGAGGGCAAAATAATTGGTCGAATTTCGGAAGCAGAAAACTTGCAAATTCAAAAAAATGTTAAAACAGATATGGAATCTAATTTTAAACTAAATGATTCGTGTTGGATAATATCCAACATAAAACCAAATTGAAAGTAATTATCAGACAGAAAAATCTTTGACGTTTACAATTTGGTGGTTGGAATTCGCATATGATGAGGCTATCTACTCCTTCATACACAGTCTTAAATATCATGAAGTATGTTTGCTTTTAAACAGTTAAACCCTTAATCATGAACATTTTCCGGAATGTGAGCTCCATGCGCTCGTTGGTAATCAAAGGCTCCTTTGGAATCTGAAACAAATAAAATATAATCGTAAGAAACTCGGATTTACTATCACTTTGATACAAATTCCATTAATATATTTGAGAATGAATGATAACGAGCTAATGTATGCAGAATTTTAAGGTCACATTCAACTCGGGCTAAGATGACCATTTGAATGGCAGTGACGAAATTTACATGCAATAGTACAAAGAACAGCGCTAACATTAATCAACAAATAGTTCCTCATTCAATCGGCTGTCTATGGAACGATATACTTTTCATGGCGAGTAGACTAGTCGCATGTGCCCTATGCAAAATCCAGCACAAATTGGTTAGTTTACGTAAATTGGATCAAAGTTAAAGTGAAATTCGTCTTTGTAAATCATGCATTTTGCGACTCTTTAGATATTAAATTGAGCTTTTTATAATAGCTGTAATTATTGTAGGATGAGAGTTCCATCGTATCTTTGTCAACGTATCTTTGAACGAGTATCAAGGAAACCAAGTTCATCACCTGCTGTAGCCAGTCGTCTTGAGTGGCGCCCTCCATGAGAAGCAACGAGCCAGAGAAGAGAGGGAAACGCAGGAAGCCTCGGCCGTCTTTGCGCTGCATCTCAAACAGACGCGTTTCACCTGAGCAGTAGAAATAATAGTTATGTGCGTAGAATGGTTGTCACTTGTCAAACACATGCAGCGCAATAATAACAAATTATCTATTTGAAAAATTTGTCAATATCAACACGCGCGGGAATTTTCCTCGCGAATAGCCTGATGCGCGCACACTTCTTTCTCATTTTATCAAAATGTGATCTCACCGAGAGACACTATAGCAACGACAGGGCGCTCTCGGAGCGCAGGATGATCATGGGAGTTCCAGGTGCTGCGGTCATTGCCGTTACGGTAGAGACTGATGTAGCAGCTGTTGTACTGGCACGAAGTGTACTGCATGAGGCGGTGCAGCAGGTCAACAATCTCGGGGCGCCACGAGTCGTTCTTATAAAGAGTCATACCGCGATAACTGTAGTCGCACGGACCAACCCAGGACAGAAGGTGAGGAACGTTCACGCCTTCTCCGTCAATTATCATTCGCCGTTGATGCCACTTGGTATTCTTACGAAGAACCTCAAACATTTTCTGAAATAAAATTATCAGTTTGATTTACCTATTAATAGTTTGGGATAGTTCAAAATAAAAACAGTGTAGTTCAAAATAGAAACGGCATTTTTATGACAAACGCCCGATTGATCGAACTGTGGACTTGAATGAATCCTACCTTCACAGTCATTAGAAAAAATATTTAAATACTTCCGTGAGCTATAACTATCGCTTGGTATAAAGAGAATAACTTTTCTCGTACAGATAAAGGAATGAAATAATATACTACACATAATTTTACAACAACAACAACACCAACTATACCTGACTACCCTCGACTGTCATATATGAGGGCCAGTAGCGTATAACGGAATTGCCGGCAGCCGTGGAAGAGAGTCGAAGCTCTCCGCCTTCCTTAATAAGCCACTCTGGTACGTTCACGCAAGGGTTTTGGTCGGGTAGGCTGAGGTGACGAGGGATGTCACCCATGCGGTTCTCTGCATAACGTCCAAAATTTAGTCAGTCAAATTAATCAAGTTGTTTCAGCAGATAAATGAGATTCCATGCTCAATTTCTTAAATGATTTTCTTTCAAAAGTCAATTTAAACTCTCGTAGAACGAGCACAAAGACAATATCGATGTTTTCTATAGTATAACCATAATCAATAAGTACTAACCTGGTATTTGTGGCTGAGTGTAGGGATTCCGTCCCTCGAAATCCATGGCCCCATTTTGTCGCGGGTCTTGCATATCTCCAGGGCCTCTCATCGACCCATGCATGCCATTGACCCCACTGGGACCATTCATTGGCCTGCCGTCACCAGGGCCCCGCAAGACATTGCTGAGGCCGCCTATCTTCGAGAAAGGCAAAGGAGGATCTCCATACGCTCCAAAGGTTGCTCTGTGACTGGGAGGGGCTGAGGGGCCAGGCTGGTCGGTGTAGTGAGGGTCGAACTGCGTCAGGTTGCCGTGAGGCCGCGACTCGGGACCATCACAACGCGCCTGCTTAGCGTCAGGACTGCCGCACTCACTAACACAAAAATCGTTGCTGGTCAGGCAAAATAGAATGGAAAAGTACCAATTGTTATCGCTAAACTAATGCGTATTTTTTCCATTTAACGGCGCAGTTCAAAGCAAAAAAAAAATACAAATTCAAACTCCTGGAAAAATATACAATAGGTAGTGGCAATGAATAATTAAATAGACAATGAATAGACGTTCTAAAATGGTCGAATTATGCTCTTGTTCAGCAGAATAAAAAATGTCTTGTTCAGCAGCTTAGGAGTAGCGATGTGATCGGTGCTCCTTACCTTGGGTCACCGGGAAAAGGGCGTTTGAAGCCTCCCATCATTGCACCGACATCGGGGCCACTGCAATAAGACAATGTGTCAGGTTAAATTTGATTGAATGACATATTAACGATGATGTATGAACTCGGAAGACCTATTAAAAGCTTAGCGTTTTTTCTCGCAACTCAATCTGGAAGATACTACGCACTTGATTGGTAAAAATTTTCGGTTCGACTCATATTTCCTTTAGCACGCCCATATCAGACATTATTGAGTGCCGTATCCCATTTAGCGGGCGTCAAATTGCCTGGCTAAGAAGTAGCAGCTATTGGCTCATTACATACAAATATATAGATCAGGATATTGGTTGTCGGCAGCGGTTCGCTGCAGACCATTTTGGGAAGGTCAAGCTAAAATACTAAATAAACTACTCAGTTACACAGCCACTTGCCCAGGGTTGACGGCGGGATGTGAAGAGAACCCAGGGAAGGGCGGCGGCGCGAGGGGAGGAGGATGGTTGGGTGCCATATGGGGAGGAGGGAGCAGTGGTCGCCCATCCATTCCAGACTGAATAGGAAACACAAACATAACACAAAATGACATTTTTCATTAGCAGCGTGCAAAACATTTCGCAGTAATTAGACTTAATTTTAATTACCATTTCAGACTCGGCTTTATCAACACAAGGAAGCCAATTCTTTTAAATTTATCCCAACTCGGTTCTCAAATGAAAATAATATCACTCAAGGATGGCGCTGCACAATTACAATAACCGTCTCACTGGGCGTCGATTTGAGAGAAGATAATTTTATGAACAATACTCACGGCGCCAGGACGAATGCCTGATCGCAGAAGGTCGTCGTACTGGACGTTTTTCATGTTCTCCACCTGCTTCGCCAGCTCCCGCTCATCGCGTGGTCTGCAAACGTCAATCAAATAAGTTGCCGTGTACCGTCTTGTACCGCATATATGCAGCGATAAAAAACGCCTTCATAGCAGGAAAAAATGTTGTTCTTTACGTTTATAAAAACATCGTTAAATCAGAAAGCTCCTAGTGTCGGGAATGTATGAAAATTTTTGCCGGAGTTGTGACAATTTTAATTATCAGCATGCTGAAGAAACAGTTACGTTTACTTCAAGACTAAAACGAAACGAAAACAGAATAGTAATTATGTCAACCAATCAACCTGAGAGCTTTTCAATTCGAAGGTCAAAGATAGTAGCCTCTAATAATGCCGATAATTTTTACTTCCTTAACTTCAGCTAAGATTTGGGATCGACTAAATGGAAGATCAACGAGTTAATAGCACCCATGATCCATCATAGTTACAAATCGTATTTCAAACAAAATATAAACCAACTTTTGAAATTCACGTCAAAATAGAGCAACACAGAAGTTATACCAATGTTATCAACGATCTCTCGTAATCTGTTTTACGCAATCTAGATAAGGTAATAATAATAAATAACTCACTTGTTGGCTTGGTCGACCTGATCAGACCAGGGCGGGACTTCAGAGAAGGAGTCGTGCATGCGGTGCCCGTCAGGCTGCTGGTTGCTCATGTCTTGTGCTGACGCCAGAGACTTGTTGTGGTCAACCTCACCGTAGCCGTAGCCCTCCATTGACGCATACGTGACGACGCCTGTGTGACATGTGATACGTGATGACGCCTGTGTGTATGTGATACGTGATGACGCCTGCGTGACATGTGATACGTGATGACGCCTGTGTGACATGTGATACGTGATGACGCCTGCGTGACATGTAATACGTGATGACGCCTGCGTGATATGTGATATGGAGTCATGAAATGCTGGTCCATAAATCACGTCAGTTTCTGAAGCCATTGCAATGACAAACACAGAACCACATAGCGACTAATGCCCCGCTGCAAATACTCGGTGACTTCCAGGCCAGTTTCCCATTGACTGCAGCAAAGCCTAAATAACGCAATTGGGGAAACTAAATTAAATTACTTGGCTACATGGCAAGGGTGAGTGAGACGTACGTTAAATGCTGTGAAAGTCTCTGGTTTGTATTGCTCACCATCCGCAGAGAAGCAGGGCAAGGGAAAATGCTGCTGTGGACCAGCGGGCGATGACGTTGGGAACTTTGGAGGAGGATTAATAACTGAAACTAAGGCGGCCGCAGCATTTGCCCTCTTTTCTTCTTCCTTCTTGGCTTCTTCTGCAGAGTGGAAAAAATCGGTAAACAATATATTAAGAGTCATTGATAGGAGGAAACCAAGATAATATATTTTTATCAACATAACAAAAAAAAATAAACAAGCAGCCAAGTTTCAGTCCTTGTTAACTTTCTTGACGGAGGCTATGCATTTTATAGGAACCGCTAATGGAGAAGTGGTTTATCGTTTCATATTCGTTTGCTGTTCCATACCTTTAACTGTTTTCTTCATGTCGTCGGCTTCTTTTTTCTTTCTTTGAGCTTCGTCTCTTTCTTCCTTCTCCTTCATATCTTTGATGCTTTGCTCTAGCAGCTGCTCATGCTTCTTAAGTTCTGCACGAGCTTCCACAAGCCTGTAAAACATCAGTCAGTGAGACACACACCCTAGCTAGAGTAATAAGTGCAATGCGACACAGGGTGAATTAGGCTTTCTATGGGAAACATATTCATGCATTCCATTCAATGGAGCTTCCACACAGCTATCTTCGTATAAATGATACAATTCAAATATCACACGTGAGACTTATGTATAATGTTTGCTTCATTTGATCGAAAATCTTCATAAAATCAATTAAAAAACACCGTAATGATAGCACATCAGTTTGGAGTTCATTTCCATAGTTGTTATACAGGTAGTGACGTTGATCATGAAGATATGTGACAAATACCGTAGCAGAAAATTAATAAATAGCAAGAATTTAAAAAATATTGATATTTTTAAATAATTAAATTACTCAAAAAGTTCATCAAAGCGTTTATTATCATTATTTATTGTAGAACTCACTGGCGATTTTCCCAACTTCATGAGCCAAGAAAACTAAACGATCCATTAAAACTAAAATAAAAAAGATCAACATCAATACATTCCATGCATACAAAGTTCGTTGATTAAGTAATCACATCCAATATCTTCAAGAAAGGACAAAAATTGGCTTAGTGAAAGTTGCTGATGCTTATTGATGTATGTTGAGTAGTAGTAGTAGGGAGAGGTTTCTAGCGCTTCAGATCAGGTAGTCTATTTCGCGCCGAAGGTCCGATATTCGTATTGCAGGGTCAGGCTTCTTCATTGGTTTCAGGCTCGTGGCCTGATCCATCTGGTCTAGGGTGTATGCTTTTCTATTTCCAAGGCGCGGGTTCTATCCGTCTTCTGCTATTTCATCTCAACCAGTAACATGATGACACGAGTATGGTGTTTAGTCAGGGGTATGGGTCTCTTCAGACCTATGTCATGGTGCCGTGCTAGATATCCGGTAGCAGGTTACACTCGATTATATATCGTCTGAGATTGTCAGTCCCAAAGATGCTTCGAGGAACTTCTCTTAGCATCCTGGACAGNTCGGCCATGATTGCATCTGAGACCGCACAGCCTCGGGTCTCATCGAGACACGCAAGCCCCCCCCCCCACGACAAGGGCGAGATGGCACGGGGGGGTGATGTATGTTGAATGCAGCTCTCAGCAACAGTGATGAATTAATGAGAAACTCACTCTTTGATAGTGCCGTGTTCGCGGAGGAAAGCAATCTTCTTCTTAGCAAACCAGCACTTGTCAGAGAGCGGCAGATCCTTGGCCTGGAGAGCCAGCATGACGGCAGCGAGAACGCCGCGCGAGTCCATCGGATGCCGTTCATAACACATGTCGAATACGTGCTGATACAGGTACACGTTACCGCGGTCCTTTCTGTTGGTACGAGACATATTAATTGTAAATAGAGTGTTAATACAGGTACACGTTCCCGCGGTCCTTCCTGTTGGTACGAGACATATTAATTGTAAATAGAGTAAACCATCTGCCGTTCATAACACATGTCGAATACGTGCTGATACAGATACACGTTACCGCGGTCCTTCCTGTTGGTACGAGACATTAATTGTAAATAGAGTGAAGTGCATCTGCCTTTCATAACACATGTCGAACACGTGCTGATACAGGTACACGTTCCCGCGGTCCTTCCTGTTGGTACGAGACATATTAATTGTAAATAGAGTAAAGTATCTGCCGTTCATAACAAATGTCGATCACGTACTGAATGCTGCAACATGTGCTCGTTACCCCGGTCTTTTTTGTTGTTAAGAGTGTAAGAAACTATTTGGATCTTAACTAAACATCAAACTGGAAAATTAGGAGCAGAAAATGCAATGTAAATGGAAGGATCATGCAAGCGAGGAACTAAAAAGTTCCACCTCTGCTCATTATGAGACTAAAAGACTAAGAATTCCGTTTCCAGACCAACTTTTGGCCAAAATATAAATCATAGGTACATTCTTATAGTATACATTCAATAAGTCTTAATACATAAATTATTTTGATTTAAATAATCTATGAGATCACTAGAGAAGCCGGAAACAAGTTGATATTATTTCAATGAAAAACGATACATATTGCAATAGTTGTTGAACAGTTTGCTATGTTTGGTAAATCCGTCAAAAAATCTCTCATTAAAACTGTAACGGCAAAAACACTAGCTTAGTTCAGTTTAGGAGAAATGTTGACATTTTAATGTCTCATGTCTGCTAGCTTACAACAGTAAAAAATTAAGATCTATCAGCATAAAAAAAGATTCCTGGAACACATGAAGAGCGATCGGTAATTATGACATTAAAAATTTATAAACCTAACACACGAACTTTTTTTGCACCACTACTCGAATTATTTTTATTTAAAGGGTATCTTACATTTGATGCAGTCCCTAGGCGCATATTGATAAATAACAATTCTAGGTACCAAACCTTAAGAAACAAGCACTCACTTGAGAGCCTTGCGTAGCAGAGCAAGTGCTGCGTCAAAATTGTCTCGCACCTGCACAACAGGAAAAATAATCACTAAACTGATTATGATCCTCGTCTTGTGGAATTATATTCAATAACAAAAAATAATACTGGGACCTTCCAATAATATTCAGTGCACGAGCGTCGATCACATGACTAATGTAGAGCTTACCGCACTTAACTCGATCATGGCTTAAAAACTTTATTTAAGGCAATAAATTATAATGTAGAAGCTAGCTTACCTTGTAGAAGAATCTTGCGCATTTGATTAATAACATTCAACGCACGACCGTCGATCACATGACTAATGTAGAGCTTTATTTTTTATAACTTTATTTGTATTATAACTTTATTTATATTATAACTTTATTTATATTATAACTTTATTTATGGAAATAAATTATAATGTAGATGCTAGCCTACCTTGTAGAGAAATCTTGCGTATTTGATTAATAACATTCAATACACGCGCGTCAATTAGATGACTAATGTAGAGCTTTATTTTTTATAACTTTATTTATATTATAACTTTATTTATATTATAACTTTATGGAAATAAATTATAATGTAGCCGCTAGCCTACCTTGTAGAGAAATCTTGCGTATTTGATGGCCAGGAAGGAGCGTTCTCTGGGCGCGACGACGGCGTTCATCGCGTCTTTGTAAGTCTGCTCGACGAGCACCTCGTTGTCAGCCCGGTGCTCCAGCTCTGCCTGCGCCACTCTGCACACACAACTCTACACATCAGATAAAACTTACCTCGTAAACTATAGAAGAATAACATTTTCCTGTTCTAAATGACAGGTTAATCCAGAAGCTTGGTAGATAACTTAGTCTCTCTGATGCAGTCAAATGTAATTTTGCTACAACTAACGAAATAAAAAATACCAATCATAAAATGTGTAGAGGTGCCTATTTTACGCAATTGTGCTACGTGCAATTCACTAATCTTACACATAATGTATCCGAGAAGACTGATCCAGATAAATGCCAAAATCACGTTTTTAAGAGCGAGGAAGTTTGATGAAGTAACAAGCCGAATTGAAGTAGCACTTTTCTGTCTAGTATATTTGTAGCCGTGTAAAGATCGCATGGTTATATATATTCATGAATCATGACCTCAACATACTTCAAAGACCCAAGGCCCACAGGGATCTAAAAGTGCCGATTTATTTAATCTTTCATAATTTTTTTAATATTATTGCTTTTAAAACTCCTGTTGAAGGAACATGTAACAAAAACCTTTTAATACTTGAATTAAATATGAAAAATCTCAATGAATTCACGATAGATTCCATAATTCCAAAAAACTATTCCCAGATCATTTTAGATTGACTAGACAAATAATACGAAATTACTATCCGAAATTTCACCCAGAGCAAGTCAGAAATTGAACACTACAATAAATTTATCAAGCATTGCTGCTCATCTCATAACACGTCAATCATAAAGCTTAAAATTCCTCAATGAATGCATTTATTGATAATGAAGACCAGTCACCGGACACAGTGCAGTAGAGACAGCTGACCTGGCAGTGAGCAGCGTAGGGTGCTTGGCGACCACGGTGCTCAGCAGCTCGCGCGCCGTGCTCACGTTGTCTGAACAAAACAAGTGCGCATCAGGCGTCGGGACACATGCATGGTTGGTGACTCTCTAAACCATTATGCATATTTTGATAAGAGTTTTTTAGACAGGAGAGGTAATACGTAGGGGAACATGCATGACTGTTGACGTTCGTCATAATAAATCTTTTGATGAATATAGTTTTTAGTGTGACTTAAGCTATCAACGGAAATGCAAAACAAGAGAGCTCTTTACAGATTACTGTATACGATACATCGATGAACCAAACACATCAATATTGTAACTTCAAGCTGTGAACCAAATATGCATGAAAGAAGAAAATAAAATGACACTCTCCCATAAATTTTTAGCGACGATTACTCCATTAGTCACATTACCAAACGCCATTACTAAAACATTTTCGACCTTAAAGCGAGGAATCAATTCCGAAAACGAAACCAATTGCATATGAGAAGTAATACATCACGATTCTCTGTATCTTGGCACATCATGCAGATAAGAAAACGGGGGACAAATTTTTCTGTTAACATAGGTAAGCAATTCAGGTATCTTCTATCTGCTGATAAAACTTTACCAACAACAAAAACATTATCAACGATTTATCAACAAAACATCGTTGATAGAACATGTACATAATCTCAAGACAAGTAAATGGTAACATCAAGAGTTAGTGCGAATCTCACCTGAGCAGCGGTTACGGGTCACATTTTACACGCAAAAGCCCAAAAACTTGAGCGCCCTTACGCGCACAGCAAACAATAATCATATATAAAGAGAGAGAACACCTGTCTGTAGAAATCTCTTACGAGATAGAAGTAAATTTTGCATACAAATATTTTCACTGCACTACAATATTTTACAAGAAATAAACTTCTGCTCAGACTTGTCATCAGTCTCCGCTTAATGAATAAATATTAACAATACATTTCTAACGCCACTCAAGTCTTTAATTTTCGATATCACTGCCTGCTAAGTTAACAACATATCAACAAAAAACAGTTAACATAACAAAAATAATTATGAGTCCATTTTCCCGAATAGCTTTTCTTTGAGGCACAAGTTTCAAGTTACAGAAAGACATCTTTGAGATATGCTAAACACGTTCAATACTTGGCAGCCTAAACCAAAAAAGCCTGCGCCTCTATACTCGAATAGGTAACATAACAGAAATCAATCTCTGAGGAGATTCCGTTCACAATTAGATCAGAATAAGTCATAGACAATGTACCATTAGGGTAATTACATCAGTTATATACATTATCACAACAAACATATAGCAAAGCACGTTCCGCGAACCTAGGTTCTAAAGATTGAGAAGAGAATCAAAGTACAAATTGAGAAATTGTAACCTCAATGAGAACAAGAACTCATCGGGCATGTTCAATTATCTGACACGTAGAACTAGTCAGGTTTATTGCATTTTAGTCTAAATAATTCTTAATCAACAGGTAACTCTAGTACACTCAGAATTATTCCGACATTCACTACCCCGGGAACTCCCATCGACCTTCCATTAATCATAATTAGAGCGTGAAATCAATGTGAGCTTTCATAAGTATATATACAAAATAACTTATTTCTTCCTGATGAAATACGTGAAATTGAAGAATTTGAATAAGGCTGACCATGGCACTGGGAATTGCGTAAACATTTCCGAGTTAGATAGTAGTCCCAGTTAATGCAATATTCGACAAAATGTTTCAAAGCCTCTAAAAAGATGCGTGACATAAAATATTCTCACTAACAACGAATCGTACTCAATTTTAAGCAACACCCAATAGTCAAAGAGCAGGTAAATTAGAATGAAGAAGACGATTCATACATCGACACAAGCCTTACCTTGGAGCTCCTCAAATTGCGCCCATTGCATGGCAATGAGAGGCTTGTTGGGACAATGTATCCATGAAGCTCTTCTGTAGATTTGACGTACATCTTCCCAGTCGGCTTGCTCATAGACCCATTGTCTAGTAAGGGTGGGGCACCTAAGCACACGACCCACCAAGCCCACACCTTCACATACGTAACCAACAACGTCTTCATAAGTCCAACAACTGCGACCAGTATTAATGAAAGCCCTATCTGTAATATGCTGAGAATTAGGCACAGAATTCATCTCGTTTAGGTAAACAACATCATCCTCCTCCTCATCTACAGGCTCACTTTTGATCTGGTCTTTACTGATGATAGCAGCATCACCTGCTACAGCCTTAGAACTAGCGTCTCTACTCAATACTTGAGTGTCTTCAGGAGTTTTATTAGCAGCACTGGATTGTTCGGAGCTATCAACACCACTGTCTTTGTTACCACTAACACCATCACTGTTGTTATTATCACTCTTAGCATCTAAAATAGCACTAGTGTTCTCCCTGCCTGTAGCAGACGTCTCGCTATCAGTAGCTGCGTCAGGGCCAGCAGCGCCAGGGGCAGCAGCAGTGGCAGTCTCACCACCACTGCTGCTGCCACCTTCCTTGTCAGCGCTCTCGGCCACACCGTCAGCTTCATCATCAACATTATCAGTTTTGACATCAGAGTTCTGGTCCTTTACAAACACTCCTGCCTTAACATTAGCCACATGCTGCTCCATGTAGCGCGCGTACCTGCACCAAAACTCTTCATACTGAGCGCATGCCACTAAGCAACGTTCAAACAATACGATCACTCGAAAAGCATCGCCTTCTTTTATCTCAAGGTCTAAATATTCATTCCAGTTCTTCAACTGGCGACGATCTAAAGCTTTGATGTGGAAATATGGCCGCTTTATCTGCAAGCAAACGAAAATTATAAATAAACAAATATAGACGTTTCAATTTACATTTACCAAGAAATAGGAATGACTCAAACCAAGATGACTTCTAAAACAATTATGTGAGCTTAAATCAAGCAATGTCAGATATCTTGTATTTAGAACACTTTAAATGTCCGCATCAAGAAGGCATGTTGGCTTCCATCAAAAGATTTATTTTTCAAATCCAGAGCAAATGCTGCCACGGCGCAGGATCTCTAAAAATCTTTCCAGGGGATGTGTGTTAACTGAATATTACAGAAAATTAAAGCACTCAGGTAGGCTAAGAGTATCATATGTACAATGACAAGGTGGGGTTGTTCCTAATGATGTGCATATGCCTCACCCGCTCCTCAAACTTCCAGCGCCTGTTGACAGCCTTCTCGTTGGCCTCGTGTACAGGCACCAGACTAGCCACGAGCTTCTCCTTGATAGCAGCCGACAACTTGTCTTCTGGCTGTTGTGTCTGCACATACTAACATCTCTAAATGAAGAAAACAAAATTCCACGTACATGTTAGTTGTGTTATTAATATTACTGATATATCAAGAATTTTGTATAATATAAAGTAGCAATTTCTTTACAATTAAATCAGGAATAAAAGAATAGGTGACAATGAAGCATCAGCAATGACATAATAATCTACTAGATTGAACAGAAATATTTCACTTAAGCGTGTCAAGGAACCTTCTTAGGCGCATTGGGAGGAAGCAGAGGACCAGGCGTGTACTTGAGGTTAAGTTGTTTGCAGCAAGCTTTTCTCGCTGCCTCATACTCTTCAGGCGGCAGCAGCGAGCGTGGGTGATAATCTCGCACCAGCTCCAGGAACCTGGGAACAAGATTTTACATAACTTGGGATACAATCCTAATAGACTTGTATCTAACTAGGATTAGTTATAATAAATGTGTATCTAACCAGGATTAGTTATAATAAACGTGTATCTAACCAGGATTAGTTATAATGAACTAGTATCTAACCAGGATTAGTTATTCCAAATACTAAAAAGCAATTTGAGGGGGTTTGACTCCACATGTTTGCCTTGCTAGGTGTAGTTTAATGCCAGTTAAAGCGACGCAAATTTTTTTCCAGAAATCATTCATTTTTAAATGTTACTTCAATGAACTTGTTGTTGAAAGAACACATGATCTGAAGTGACGTACATTGAACTGCTTGATAACAGCGTACAGCCATAGCACTCAAGATAAACAATACAAATATGGAGTGTTCATATTTCAGTGTTCATGACTGGGACAACTGATGGTATGTGGTGAAATGAGTATGAAAAGAATGGGTGTGAAGAAATTTGTTGTAATGCTGGGTACATTATATTCCAAGAATATAATAGTATATATATTATAATATGCAGTTTGATTGAAGATCAGAGAATGCTTTTTATTAATAATCTTCTTATTTGTTTTTTCAATGAGTCAAACAAAATTTTCAACGAGTCTCTGGTCTTCAATAAAACTTGCATAAAAGAAAAGCTTCTGCTGAACTACACCAATATTATAAATAGCGCACTACCTGTCCCAGTGTTTGTTGTACTGCTTGGTGGGAGTGCTGAGGAGCTTCTTGTAGACTTGCACAAGTTTGATGAAGTTCTCCTGCTGCGTGTAGTACTGGATGCAATAGTCCCATACCTCAACACTGCGGTACGAGGCTCCCACGCACTCCATGCAGTCTTCTATTGCTCTGAACACAAAAGCTTATTACTTTACAATTGCAGAGATGCAAAAAATTCATTGAGATAAAAGAGAAATCAATAAAAAATTTTGTGAAAAATAAATTATACAATATAATTTTAAAACATTTCCATAGGAGAGAAATACAGAGGACCATACGAGAAATACAGACAACCAAAAAATAAATGAAATTTATTTCTGTATTCGAGTTGATTACAAATTTTTAATTGATATATGCACATTTAATACATCTCATTAAAGCAATCAGGGAGAGTCTAACTCAGACTGTGTGATCCATCCTGTCAATATCAAAGATATGAAAGAGATAAGAGCACTGACTGTGTGATCCATCCTGTCAAGTGTCAACATCAAAGATATGAGAGATAAGAGCACTGACTGTGTGATCCACCCTGTCAATATCAAAGATATGAGAGAGATAAGAGCACTGACTGTGTGATCCACCCTGTCAATATCAAAGATATGAGAGAGATAAGAGCACTGACTGTGTGATCCACCCTATCAATATCAAAGATATGAGAGAGATAAGAGCACTGACTGTGTGATCCACCCTGTCAATATCAAAGATATGAGAGAGATAAGAGCACTGACTGTGTGATCCACCCTATCAATATCAAAGATATGAGAGAGATAAGAGCACTGACTGTGTGACGACGGATTTGTCGAGGTCGTTCTCGCTGGCATATTTCTGAAGAGCTTGCAAGGCGGCGGTCCAGAGCTCCGTGCACACGGGGATACAGCGAGCGCCTTCAAGCAGCAAACCAAGACTCCTGGAATATGACACAACTTATCAATTTATCATCAAGTTTGTCAGGAAGAAAAAGTAAAATAGAGGGTGAATCAATTGTAGGTCACTATAAGCAACAATTCATACAAGGATCTGAATTCTCTATCATAGTAACTACAGTAACAATTTAATCACAGCTATAGTGCATGATTGTGAATAATTTTACTAAAGCTTATTTATATGAGCTGTAATTGTGTGCACAAGAAGTATTTGCAAGTAAGTTAAAGAGACATTAGAAGATACAGACCGTTCTGGGCTGCCATGCTTAAGTTCCATGTCGCTGATTTTGCGCCAGTAAGCAAAGCAATATGGGTACAGGGGCAGGAACCCATCTAAAGCTGCTCGCGCTGCATCAATGTTATCCTGGAAGCAAAAATAAAGCAATATATTACTACTTTGAACTAAAAATCTGGCAGGACAAGCCAATCAAAAATACATTCATGTAATGTGTGTTTTTGATCAGTATTTACTCGATATTCATTTATTCTATCATTTTCCCAGAGTATATTTCTGCTAAAATATATTAACTAGAAGTTAATGCGATGCAACTAGAATATAGAAAGAAATAAAACATCTCAATTTCTAGTTAACCTTAACAGATATTATCAAAGATAAATTAGAATTTTATCCCAAAGTTAAATCTTATAAATGAAGGTCAAGGAGTCTCACCATGGCTTCTACATGACTAAGGAGGTAAGTCCAGCCATTAAAATCGTAGGGGTTGTCCTGTACAAACTGCCAGTACTGATGCAGCGTCTCCCAGGCAGCCTGAACCTCTGCCTCCTTACGCTGCTTGGCAGCAAACCTGTCCTCGGAGCTCGAGGCTCGGATCGCGTCTTTCTTGCTGTTGAAGGCGTTTGCGATACCAACCACCTGCAGGTATCAGTTGCTACGTTAGGCTTACATTTTATAATTGTAAAAATTAACACAAATTAATATTAATCCTCTATTGAGTTCTTGAATAAGCGCAAAAGGCTTCAGCCTACCTAAATGGCCATTAAAATGTCATACATAAATTAATTTCCATTAAAATAGTGTATTAAGTTAATGGTAAATACTGATGTATTTTTAGAGCAAAGTAGAAACTCGAAAAAGATGGATGTAAATGTTTTACGACACCAATTAATCACTCATAAATATTCAATGCAGCCATAAAGCTATAGAAACCATTTTGTGTTCTTCATTGACTCGAAGTTACCAAAAACGAAAGTTTGAACTCACTGCAGTAGCTGTGAGCTGCTCATGGGAAGACTCGTCCGAGGTAGCCGAGCACGTCGTGGCAGTAGTAGAAACAGTAGAGGTGCTAGCGTTGCCTGAACTAGCGCCAGCAGTTGCTGTTATTGGAGCTGCTGCATTGGAAGTCTCAATAGCAGAAGCAGCCACAGCAGAGGCCTGGGCAATTTCACTCGCTGCTGAAAGCATTCCTTGCTGTGACTCGAGAAATTGTTCAGCAGAACGTTGTTGCTGATAAATTTGCTGCTGGGAAACATTTGGTGCAGGGCCTGAAACTGTGCCAAAGCTCCAGTCACCGGAAGTCCGAGGACCACAACCTGCATTCATTTGCTGATTGCCCATGAAGTTTGGTGGTCCATTGGGACGGAAGGGAAATCCCCCCATTCCAGGGTGCTGGCCAAACTGAGGCATGGGTCCACTCAGGCCTTGTGGTGGACCCATCATGCCAACAGGAGGACCGTTCATGACCATCGGGGAACCCATCATACCTCCAGGGCTATTCATACCTTGGAATCCAGGTAGTCGACCACTGCCAACAAAACCATTTGGGCCTCCACCACCTCCCATGCCTTGTGGGGCTCTAGGCCCACCCATCCCATGAGGGCCTCCCAAGACACGGAGACCTCCTGGGCCACCCATGCCTTGAGGACCACAATGATTACCCATGCCTTGAGGACCACCAGGACCACACATGCCTTGTGGACCACCAGGGCCTCCAGGACCACCCATGCCTTGATGACCTCCGGGGCCACCCATGCCTTGACGGCCTCCAGGACCACCCATGCCTTGAGGGCCTCCAGGGCCGCCCATGCCTTGAGGGCCTCCAGGACCACCCATGCCCTGAGGTCCTCCAGGGCCGCCCATGCCTTGAGGGCCTCCAGGGCCACCCATGCCTTGAGGTCCTCCATGGCCACCCATCATTTGTGGTGGCCCACACATATTCATATGAGGTCCTCCCATAGAGTTTGGTGGTCCACCCATCCCCATATGAGGTCCTCCGATGCTGCTGTTAGGTGGCCCACCACAAGACATGGGAGGAAAAAAGTTGTTTGTCATGTTGTTGTCCTTTACAAATGAAGAATTCAAGTTGGGAATTGGCTTCATTAGGCCACCCCGGCCACGCCAACCCTGCCATGCCTGCCGTCCCCTGTTGCCTCTGCCAGACATCTCAAAGTAGCTTTGAGATCTTAGTAGTTGATTGAAAATCCTGAAATGTTCAGGAAAAATAAATTTCAGATTTGTTGAAACACCTTGCATACATACATAGACAGCTACATTTATTAAATATTAAGCAGCATAAATATGTTCAGCTATTTCTAGTTCCTGTTAACATAAGTTATTGCTCTCATTCAATTTAATATATAAATGCCATTATTTGCAGAAGAAAAAATTTAAAATGAAAGATACTTGCCAAGTAAGGTCATGTTCCAGAGAGCAGCACTTCAATGCAACTCCACAATGGAGCACCAACAGCTTATCTACTGCCTCCTACTACTGCAGTCAGCTTAAAAATGTTCTTCCCAACTGAAAAATAAATCACAGCATTAAATAGGTACATGTTTGAGAAAATCAAGTGTTTATGATCTATGAAGCAATAGTTTCAGATGTCATGTATACACAAAAAAGGAATTTTTCTTATTCAATATACTATTTATAATTATTCTATTCTTGAATATTTTTCACATAGGAAAGATAAAGATATATTTTTTTGCAAAGGAAAGAATGTAAATATAAAAGAACAAACTTTGAGTGGTTACATCTGATAACCAACAGATTACTTCAATTACACAGTAATTATAAGTAAAGAAGTGTTTAAAAATGAGCAAATGAGTACATACATTTATAATAAAAAAAATTAGAATTATACTGAAATTATGTATAAACAAGATTGAGTTAACTAACCTTATATTTAAAATAAAAATTGAAAGGCAATAACTTTGCCTAATTCTATGCATTAAGAATTTGCTTAGAGGATGTTTGTAAACCAATCAAGCTTTTCCTAACAACGTAAATTTATATTTATTCAAGGATAAAAAAGATTAGTAATTGTTCCTATAACTATCACTTGCAACTACTCTGAAAGAAATGTTCTACCTGACATATATATGATCTGGGAAGAAAAATTTTATTAAGGGTTAACAACACAGAATGAAGATAGTATACAAAGATTTAATTGTAAGTGATAGTGTACTTAAGATAGTGTACACTTGATTCAAAAAATGTTCCTTATCAAATCATGGATTTCTATGATACCGTAACAGTATCATGATAGCTCCAAAGATTTTTTAGATGTTTAGAAAAGAATGCAGAAATGGCTATGCTCACACTAACATTATCTCTATTGTGAAATAGAAGTAGGCAAACTCTTTAATTAATACAAACATTTTTCACATTAAAGCCCATATTAAAATGTCAACAACAAGAAAATGGAATATCTTTCAAACTTTGATATGAAAGATCCCTCAAATCCAAACCAAGCAATTGGCAAATAAAAATGAGCAAGCTAACAAAATTTGGCACTGGTTGATAAAAAAAAATTCATAAAAAACAGAAAAAAGGGGGTACTTTAAAGGGGGTACTTTATCTCCACCTACAAATATTGTGCTACAACATTGAGACACTTATCATTCAATTTGTAAAGACAACACTTCTAAAGAATCCAGTGTTTCCAATGTTACTGATGTAGGTAGTGGATGTACAATGAATTTCTTATTTTATTTTCAAATATTAACCAAATTAATTTTTCAATTTTTTTAATACATATATAAACATTTTTTTTTTTATTATTTATTCTGTCAATTGATTCATGCATTGCCTCCAACTTCACACAAGTGTGCAAAATTTCGGATCAATTGGAGAGATAAAAGTGTGTCAATATCAATTATAAGATTTGTTGCTGACAAAATTAATTTCTCAGTTTTTCAATATTGAAATTTTTTTTTAATTTTTAAAATCATTTATTCTGTCAATTGATTCATGCATTGTCTCCAACTTTATGCAAGTGTGCCAAATTTCAGATCGATTGGACATGTATTAGTGTGTCAAATATTGATTATAAGATTTGTAGCAGACAGACAGACAAACAAACAACAAGAAGTAACACTTCTCAGTTGTGGGGTAATTTTTTTTATTTTCCCCCCTCCGCCCTTTTTTACAAAATAAAATCCAAACTATATTGAAGTCAAAAAAACGTACAAACATAATTTTGTAGAGCTTTAATTTACAAATTGAACCATGTATCTCTCATTGCTGTAGCTTGAAAATTATAGGAGGAGATGGATTCCTAAGATGAAAATTGCAACTTTTCAGGAGAGCCAATACACCAGTGACTGGCGGCACGCTCGCTATGTAAAGGCATATAATGTAGCTTGGATACCAAAGGTAAGCATTATTTCACTCTTAAGTCACTCAGCAATGCAGAGAACGACTGCATGCACACCTTCCAGCATGACAGCTTGTGGCTGACTGAGCTGTGAGGCCACAGACTGCATATTTATAAACCCTGGACGGAATTATTCTCATAGGGTTTTGTTAAGGGGCTCCACCACCCCCACCCTTTGTGATCGGTCATGACAGCCTAACTCAACGTACAGAGATGGTTTTGGTACTGTTGGATAGGTCAGAATGTCAGCTTTAAGATGAGACTAAAAACCGGAAAAGCCAAAATCGTTGATTTTGGACAAGACGCCCCCCTTAAGTGAAGCAAAATGTTGGTTTTGCTGGTCAACTGTTTTAGGATAAAATTAGAGATTAGGGGTAATACATGCACGGACTTTGTTGATATGTTCACGGCTTGTTAATGGTTCTTCATGACCGAGATATGACAGTCACGGCTCGAAGAAATGGAATCCTGGCTGGCAAATCCATAAAACCTTGGCTCAAAAAATTCAGGCGTGGCTTGCCAAGTATATATAATTCATGCCTGTGCTGTGCATAGTGCAATTCTATAGGTTATACAGGGTGTCCCAAAAAAACGACTCAACTTTGAATGGCTGTGACTCAAAAAGTAAGTAATAGAGTTAAAAAAATTTAAAAGGTCAGAATTTGTTCCCTATGTTTTTCTCCATCTCTCTACCAAAAATCAGACAGATCGCTGTAGCCATAAGCGTTTGATAGAACTTTCAGTGACATGTGCTAAAATTGTGTTGCGCAAAGTTTTAGTACGATCATTTTGCATAATCATTACGTTGTCATGACAAGTTTTCTTTTCACGGTTTTATTTTTAGCGCATTTTCTCATTTATGAAAAAACGCATTATTGTACCTACTTGACATGTCTGTCTGTCCGTCCGTCCTTCTGCTGTCTGTCTGTCCGTCCGTGACTTCATGTTTTCGTCAATGAGAAAATGCGCTCTCTCAGTACTCACTGCAGAGAGTACTGAGTTCCATTTTTTGTATCTTTGGTGAGACAAAAACATGGCAATCTTTGGTTTTGAAATTCTCTCTCACCAAAGATTGCCATGATTGTCTCTCACCAAAGATTGCCATGATTGTGTCTCACTAAAGATTGCCATGATTGTCTCTCACCAAAGATTGCCATGATTGTCTCTCACCAAAGATTGCCATGATTGTGTCTCACCAAAGATTGCCATGATTGTCTCACCAAAGATTGCCATGATTGTGTCTCACCAAAGATTGTCATAATTGTGTCACCAAAGATTGTCATGATTGTGTCTCACCAAAGATTGTCATGATTGCCTCTCACCAAAGATCTCATGATTGCCTCTCACAAAGATTGCCATGTTTTTGTCTCACCAAAGATACAAAAAATGGAACTCAGTACTCACTGCAGTGAGTGACAGAGCGCGCAATTTCTCGTCGACGAAAACACGAAGTCAGGGACGGACAGACAGACAGATGGACGGACGGACAGATGGACATGGCAAGCACAATAGTGCATTTTTTTCATAAATGAGAAAGTGCGCTAAAAATAAAACAGTGAAAAGAAAACATGTCAAGACAACATAATGATTATTCAAAATGATCTTACTAAAATTTTGCGCAAGCACAATTTTAGCACATGTCACTGAAAGTTCTATCAAATGCTTATGGCTACATCGATCTGTCTGATTTTTGGTGGAGAGATGGAGAAAAACATAGGGAACAAATCCTGACCTTTCAAAATTTTCTAACTCTATTACTTTTCGAGTTACAGCCATTCAAAGTTGAGTATCGTTTTTTTGGGACACCCTGTATGAAAGAACCTTGTCTTATGGCATTTTGAACTGATCACTGCTTCTTTAGGGACATACTACCACACCACACAACACACTAGCTAGCACCTTCCCAAACAAAAGCTGGTTTAACACTGAATGAAGGGGCAGGGTCAGTCCTGTCAGCTGCTAGCTGCAGCAGCTGTTATGTTTGAATTTTTGAATGCTCAATTTAAAATCCAAAGCCCTGGTTTCAAGTCCTGAGGAGCCTAAATTTTCAATACCGTAAAATGGGGTTACTTTGACCGGCGGGGTAACTTTGACCACTTTTTGTTTTTTAACAAAAACCCCCAAAACTCAAAAACGATTTGACATAGAAAAATTTTGTCATTGGCCATCAAAGGCCTAATACTGAGGCTACGTAACACAATAGAAAGATTTAAAAAGTTTGCATATCTAATAGGTTAAAAAATTAATAATGTGACCCACGAAAAAGAGCTTTAACACAATAGAAAGATTTAAAAAGTTTGCATATCTAATAGGTTAAAAAATTAGTAATGTGACCCACGAAAAAGAGCTATTATTTAAAGCCTGTCGGAGTACCCGCTCCAATTTTTTTATTTTTTTGGTAAAATAACTCTAGGTTTTGATGCATTGTAGTAGAACTCTTCTAGTTACATATGCAAAATACAAATTTTAGGAAAGTGTCATAGTTTGCAAATGGGGGGCGCCACCCCCCAATGGGGGAACTTTGACCACCTGATGGCAGCCGTGACGGGGTAACATTGACTGGCTTGGAAATCAAGTTAAAATTACCATAGTTACCTATATAACATTATTTTATGTTTGATACACCTAATAATGTTTTTTTTTGTTTGTTTCAGACTCTGCAGAGTCTTATATATGGTAATTTTAACTTAATTTCCAAATCAGTCTATGTTACCCCATCACAGCTGCCATTAGGTGGTCACATTTCGCCAATTGCGCGGAGGCGCCCCCCATTTGCAAACTTTGACACTTTCCTAAAATCTGTCTTTTGCATATGTAACTAGAAGAGTTCTACTACAATGCACCACAACCTGGAGTTATTCGGAGTTACTTTACCCAAAAATAAAATTGATTTTACCACCCGGTCAAAGAAACCCCAAGAGCTGGGGTAACAAAGACCATCACTTTTTTTGAAATTACATCAAAACTATGAGAGGCAGGAGCCCGCAATTTATGGTGAGTAAAGCTAGAGTATTGACCTGTATTTTGCACGTTTCAATTTAAGTTTAACTTATCTAGTAAAAAAATGGCATCATTTTAAAAAAAAGTGGTCAAAGTTACCCCATTTTATGGTATGTCATATTAAAAATTCATGTTTCTGCATGAATTTTAATGCTGCTAACATTAAGAAACTTCAAATTATCTCTCCTGCAAGAAATACTTGGTTAAAAAATGTTAATTTCAATAAAACAGAAAACAGACTCAATCCAAAACCTGGGGTCCCAAAACCTAGATTGCATGATCACTCAGTAACTACAAGTGACATTCATTTCTATACTAAAATTTATCTAGCCAGTATTTCTTGCATGAGAGATACTTTGAAGTTTCTCAATGTTAACAGCGTTAAAATCCATACAGAAACGTAAATTTTTAATAGGTTTTGGCTGAAATTTACGCTCCTAAGGACTTGAAACCTGTCTTTTGATTTCAAATAAAAAATTCTCAACAAATCGCGCTGCTGCAACAGCTGGCTGCAGGATTAGAATTTTTCTGCTGGTTTCTGAAATCTCACGGCTTCAATGTGACAATTTGTGCATTTGTGCACAGATTGTGGCCGCAAAATTTGTGGAATCTTGCGGCCCGATTGTGCATTTTTGTTAACAATTATATAAGAGGTAATTCTTCTAGCAGAAATCTCCCGGTTCCAGAAATGGCGGGAAACCTCTAGTG